TCCAATATGTACGATTGCGGGAGCCGGCATATTCCTCGGTGTTCGACTCAAGACGGAAACGGATTCTATCCGGTCTCAGCTCCACAAGGTTGACTATCTGGGCGCCTTGCTGCTCATATCGTCCTTAGTCTCTATCCTGTATGGTCTCACCGGCGGCGGTATCCTATATCCGTGGTCTCATGCTAGAATCATAACAGCTCTCGTCATAGGAGGCCTCGGCATCGTCCTCACTGCTCTGTATGAGGTCAAATATGCGCCTCACCCAATGATTCCTCCCGCTATCTTCCGAGATCGGACAGCAGTATCAGGATACTTCTCAGCATGGGTACACGGTATTGTGCTTTGGGCGCTCGCATACTACCTTATCCTCTACTTTCTGATAGCGCGGGGCCATTCTCTTCTACACTCGGCTCTTGAGATTCTACCAGGGATTGCAACAATACCTGTCTGTGCAGCATTGTTCGGTATCATTATGGCTATTACAAAACATTTCAAGTGGTTGAATGTCTTTGCCTGGGCGTCGTTATCGATTGGAGTTGGTCTTCTCGCACTGTTGACAGCACATACTGGGCTGGGGAAAGCATACGGATACCAGATCGTGTTGGCCGTTGGTGGTGGCATTATCTTCCCTGGGCGCATCCTGGCCGTCCAAGTCTCACAGAAGCCGGCCAACGTCCCAATCGCTACGACTATGGTATCTTTCTTCACCTCTCTTGGTGAAGCATTTGGAGTCGCGATTGGAGGCTCCATCTTTCAGAATCGTTGGAGCGCGTTGACGAAAGACGCCATAACGTCCGGTCGGTTGCCGAGAGAGTATCTTATTAACAGCGACGCCGCTGAGGGCTCTGCTGAGCGACTGAAGTTGCTACCGTTCGGTGTCAGAGACGCGTACAGAGGGATCATGGCGGAGAGTCTGCGGACTTTGTGGATCACCTTTGCAGCTTTAGCCGCAGCCGCGTTTTTTGTGAGTTTGATAGCAAGGGATCTCAGTCTAGCGGAGAAAAGGGACGAGGGTGACTTGGAGGAAGCGCACACCCCTGAAGTAATGGCGACGACTTCTCAGAATAAGAGGTCAGAAGCGCGAGGAGCGGCCGATAACGAAGCGGCCTGATGTCAACTTTTCTTCGTCTTTAATGAATCGTGTTCTTGCAAATTCTTGGCCGCTAGATCCAGTGAAGAACGGGCCTTGTTACTAGTATAAGGCTTGCAACACGCAGCAGAAGCACTTCAGTTTGTGATAACGATATTGTAGCATCCACAGCACAAGATCTAATTCACTTCAGGGTCAAAATCGCAGTGCGAAGTCAAATGGTAAGATGAGGATACTGCTCCATCAATCCACGGCAAACATGGTGTAAAGAAGTATAGCCATTTTGTCGAGTGATTTAAAAATCAACATATCAAGGAGATCCGGCCTTGTCGATTCTGCCTGGAGATTCACGGCCGGGAAGCCTTCTACACACATCAGCAAAGCTAATCGAGAGTTATAGTAATCGTTCAAACACATTGCATCTTCGGTGTAGAGCTGTTACTCAGCTTGAGATGTAAAGCCGCCAATTTCATTAGGTAATTTGCAACTATATAGAAGTACCTTAGAACCCTCCTTAACATACAAGTTCCTAGTTCAGCACTCTATCTACAAGCGTTCTAGGGTTTTAGTCGAAATACTACAGTATATCAGTTTCTACCAGAACTAAAAGATGTTAGCGATGACATAGCAATGATTAAGTCTTTCGATCTAGATGCTGCTATTCCTGAGCTTTTTGGTGGCTTGTGACAACGTCCCATGGGGGCATGGTTTACACTGCTCAGCTTTCCCTACAGTCAAGACGCTACCGTTCAAACTACTGCTTTTCCTCGGTTCAATTACCCCACGGCTTTCTTACGACATTTGACAATGCATTTTAGATTGCTGATCCCAAAGCTCAATTGTTACGAATTGAAAGAGCAGGGATGTGCTAGAATCTGGAAGTGATTGTTTTACGCATCTTGGGATACAATGGAGATGCGTAAAACAGCAAAAGGTCTCATCAGACTCCCACCATGTCCAGAATGATTGTCAAAGGTTACTCAGCCCACAAAGGCAGCATTTCATCGCGGGCTTGTATTTGTTTGTTTCGATTGTTGAATGGATTGTGTCAAAAAGTTGTTTGTATAGACGGAAGGGTGCACAAACCAGATATCATTGTTTGTGAAACTAACACCTAGTCCACGAGCGCGCCAATCAAGTTCAATTTGTTTCCCTTTGCTTGTCGCATCCATATGAAAACCTTCCGCGCCCCTATATTTTAAATGAGAGTTCTATTTCTACAACTCACAATCATTCCTCGGGCTTTTACACTTCAACGATCACCAGTTCTACAGTCTACCTTGGTATTTCTGATATCATTGGTAGCAACTATCTACGTTGCCACGAACACACCGCCTATCTGGGATACTGAACCGCACGAATCCAGTCTACTAGTTACCAATCATGTGGCGACTACTTGAGGAATTGTTTCCAGAACGTTTAAGGGAATTCGAGCTACCAATTCCGGTTCTCCCAAAGGCCAGCGTATCAACTACAGCTCAAGTAGCCCAAGCTTCTGACGCTCTTACCTCTCTCATCAACACCATCCTTACAAAGTTTTACGGCGACCATATACGCTACCGAGCCGTTGATGAACTGCTACCATCTGTGATTTGTTGGGAAGCCAAAACGACGTCTGGGTACAAACCTATAGCCGCTATCCAGCACAAGCCTCGAGACTCTATGAAGAGCATGCACATGCGTGGTAGCGGGCTTCACTTCGATGCAGAAGACATGGAGAAAGCGCATCTTGAGGCCCGTGCCATCCAGTATGCCCTAGGGCTCGACTTCGTTTGTCTCTTTGATTACGACAATCTCCTCCTGATCACATTCGATGGGCCGCTCGGCGGGGACGGAGGTCCACCACGCTTCGAAGCCGGTCTGCCCCATCACTTCCGCACACTACTTATCAACTGGCTCGGCGAGGCAATCAAGAAGACCGGTGTTCTCATGACTGAGCCTTTGCCCGGAAAGACGATCGAAGAATCCAACATCGCGGCGTTTGGGTTCTCCAAATTCATACTGAAGGAGGAGATTTATGGTGCCATGGATTATATGGCTGCTCAAGCAGATACAGCAAAGCATGGTATCTCCAGCAAAGATGATGAAGGTACATTGAGAGAGGTGCCGGCTCAATCCTTGCCTACGGTGCTGGACGTCGACACTCTCAATGCTGGTCCGGTAGCAACAGTATCTGAGAAGTATCTGATCGCATTCGTGACTGTAGCTTTGAGCAAGCTTTACAACGCCGAAGTCAAGCAGAAGAGGAGCAAAGATCCAGGCTCTATGATATGGTATATCGAAAAGCCTTCCGGTACCTCCATTGTTGCTTGCATGGCATACATGCCACGTGCGCTACGCGGAATCATGAAAGAATCCAAGCAATCTGGGTGGGTGTGGGACATGATGGAGTCGTGCTTCACTGGATCCAATGAATCCGAGGGAGGGAACAAGGGAGAAGACATTTTCCAGAATCAAGAGCTGCGTGCTTTATGCAACGCGACTGGGTGCCACTTGCACGCTCTCTTCGACTATGAATCGCTCGTTCTTTTCCATTCTGACGGACAAGGCAGGGAGAAAGTCGACATGGCATGTATCGATCCGGAGGATTTCCGTAAAGCAATACTCGGTTGGTTGCGACGAGCTTACCCATTGGCTGGCGTAGCAGGAGGGTCAGCGAAAGAACCGAAGACGATCAAAAGGAACACCAAGGTAGGCCGCAACGAGAAGTGTCCTTGTATGTCAGGGAAGAAGTTCAAGGTTTGCTGCGGAAAGTACTGAAGGGCTTGAGAGGTAGGCATCTTACCTTTCTTCATTGGGTGGGATATGGATGGTGAGATAGTGGTGGGCGACTGGAACAATGCTGCTTTGTACTCTGAAATGCGGGATAGAAGCTGAAGTAGACGAATGGCTGGATTGATTCATAGTATAGGCGCTCTGGAATGATTCAGCACTTCAACGTGCAACAACGAACCCGTGTGACACCAAACATATGATCCAAGTCGATCGAAGATAATTTCCTAGAGCAGATACATAGTATAATCGAAAGGCCAAGGGAACATCGTCAAGAGACTGAGCTGGAAAGACAACCTCCTCCAAAACCGACCAAATCTTCACCGAGTGAGATGCGACAGTGCAAGAAATTGTCGACGGGACATTTCGGTGATGTCGTGAACTCAATGAATTCTATTCCCTTTTTGAAGCACTTCAACGTGTAATAACGGAGCTGCGCCGAGTATGAAACAGGACCTGAATTACCTCAAGGTCAATGTTGCAACGTGATTGTTAAATGCGAAGAACGCTTTCGATACTAGCGCCCGAAGCTGGCGCCATAGACCACTCGTTCGAAAACATCGAGTCAACGACACGAGTTGTATTGGATGGCATGCAAATCGGCAGTGCTTTGTCGGAAGAAGGAGCTATGATAGAAAGCCTAAGCGACCGTAGTCAATGAATGAACCACGTAGACAGTTTCTGAATTTGATTCACTTACAACAGCGCAAACTGTCTACATTGATATATTAGTTGATAAACTTTCCGAAGCATGACTCGTTATTGGAAGCATACCTATTGGCGTGCCTCAACAAGGCTACAGCGTCTAAGACACAAGATCTGACACACCCCAACCATAATTACGTAGTGTGCGCAGAACCAAAGGGCGCGAACAGTGACCCAGTATTCGGCGAAGTGATGATGAAAATATGAACAGAGGTGTGGTAGAGGCGGAGGAGGAGCACAAGATGTTGGGATGGCTGCCAAAGAAATGTTCGGAGGTGCTTGCTCCTCCGGAATAGTCTATTCGCCTAGTTGTCAGACTAATCATCTTGTGCGACTTCGGGCTTGCCGACCGCGCAGTATCCACTACGTGACGTATTGCGGTACTATATATATGTTGATTGCTACAAAATTTACTATCAATTGACAAAGAGCCGGTCAGGTGGCCGAGCGGTTATGGCGCTAGCTTCAGGTGCTAGTATCGAAAGATGCGTGGGGTAAGGATTTCTAGACATGCGTTCTTGGTGCATTCCTAACAAAGATAGTTCGAATCCCACCCTGATCAACATTTATTCTTGAATCTTTTTGCCGCGTGGAGTGCAAGGCTACCTCAATCGCGGGGTGCCACGAGCCGACGAACACCAAGATGTCAGGACCATGCTTCACCATACTTGATCCCGTTGGGGGTTTACAACTCACGACTTATTTTTTGCCACTTGCAAGCCTCAATATTCATCTATCTCCTGCACTCTGCTGTAAGAAGCTCTAGGAGGCTAACAGTTGCCAAATGGCAGCTGTTACTCCTCCAACTTTTAGTCCTCTTTAGACGGCAGGTGGGACGGAACGTTATGCGGCAAGCGAACTTGGCTGCGAGCTTCGTCCTTCCTCCACCCCAGCTTACGACCGCCGCTTCCACTTACACTTATTCGCATTGAGCTATTGAGCAGGATAGTGCTTACGAAGCTTCTCGTCCATTTCTCTTCATGTTGTAGAATCTGGAGCGCCCGCTCTTGAGGAGCTGGCTTGCATTTTGCTTCGAGCTCGCGGAGCTTCGCTCGCACGAGACAGCCGACCCTCAAGTTAAGGGTCAATATATTCTTCTACAGCTATGTTGCCACGGCTCGCCGCTATGTGGCATCTCTCACGTATCGTTGCGCTGTTGTTATGGGTGTTGGCTGTAGCTACATCCACATCGGAAGATGCAGATGCAGCATCCCTCAGTACGAGTCCTCTTCAGCCTCCAAAACCTACCCAAGGGACTGACAAATGGAATAGTCGACCGCGATACAAACCATAGCCACGAACAGCAGCACATCCTGCACCCCATTCCCAGCCCTCCAGCATCCCAGCAACCCTCTAAGCCCGATGTCTCGTCCTCAATGATAGCCAATGCCCTCCAAGACCTCCACACCGCACTCTCGACGATGCAAGACGAGTATTTCAGCCTCTGGCTCGGCAAATGGACGACAGCAATAGACTGGACAGCTGCTGTTATGGGCACGCACCTGTCCTCGACCCTGTCATCCCTCTCACACAGCCTCAGCTACACCATGCCGGGCACCTTCGACAAGAGCGTAAAGCTAGACGTCGAGGCGCAGATGATCGAGAACGAGATCAACAAATACTTCAGCCAGAGTATAACGTACTTTTTCGGCGAAGACGTGTTTGGGATAAGGAACCAGGCGTTTGATGATATGCTGTGGGTTGTTCTGGGATGGTTGGAGGGTATACGGTTCATTGAGAGTCATAGTGAGAGGCATTATCCTCTTACGGAGGGGAAGAGGAAAGAGGAGGCTGAGTGGCATGCGAGGCAGTTCATACCGACGTTTGCGCATCGCTCTCGCATCTTCTACGAATTGGCAGAACGAGGTTGGGATTGGGAGGTTTGTGGTGGAGGCATGACTTGGAATCCACATTTACTGCCGTACAAGAACGCGATCACGAACGAGCTGTTCATCTCAGCAAGCATCGGCATGTATCTATATTTTCCAGGCGACGACAATTGCTCTCCCTTCGTGAACGCAGCGGACAGCAGCAAGCATCCAAAAAGGGACGAACTCAGAGCTGCCGAGCACGCCTGCGAAGACCGAACCTCGCACTCAACATATGACCCAAAGTACCTAGCAGAAGCCATCAACGGCTACAACTGGCTCAAGAACAGCGGGATGACCAACGCGCAAGGTCTCTATACTGACGGCTTCCACATCCACGACTACGGCAAGAATGGTACTATCGGGACCGGGAAGTGCGACGAGCGGAACGAAATGGTCTACACATACAACCAAGGCGTCATTCTATCAGGTCTGCGGCAACTCTGGGAAGCAACAGGGAATCTCACATACCTCGAAGACGGTCACGAACTTGTTCGGAACGTCATACGCGCCACTGGATGGACGGATACGGACATTCCACATTTCGTATCCTTCGAAGTCCCAGAACACCTAGCGAAGGAGAAGAGAGACGCCACCAAACAGAAACCAAAGCCTAACTCCCTCCCACAGAACTGGTCCGGCCTAGGCAGCGCCGGCATCCTCTCCGAACTCTGCGACTCCGCCGGCACATGTTCCCAAGACGCGCAAACCTTCAAAGGCATATTCTTCCACCATCTTACCACCTTCTGCACACCCTTGCCTCGCTATCCTGTAGCGCCAGGCCAAACGTACGGCGCTAGTAAAGAGATCGCAGCATTGCACAGAAGGAGTTGCAATGAGTACGCGCCGTGGGTGATACACAACGCGCAAGCCGCACTCAGGACAAGGGATAGTAAGGGCAGGTTTGGGGCGTGGTGGGGTGCTGGGATTGACTCTTCGAAGAGTTTGAATGATCATGAGGGGACGGGGGAGTGGACGGAGAAACATGTTCCCAAACCGCAACTACCGCCTCGTGCGATGGATTACAGAAATATGCCGAGCTACGAAGATGAGTACAGGGAGTTCAGAGGGGAGAGGCTTGTTGAGGAGCAGAATGGCGCTGTGCGTGTCCATGGGGATGTGAATGATCGGGGACGAGGAAGGACGGTGGAGACGCAGGGTGGTGGGGTGGCGGTCGTTAAGGCTATGTGGGAGTTTTTGAGGCGGTTCGAAGAAGATGTGGGGTAGTAGATGCGGATACTGAGTTTTGAGCATGGCGTTATGGCGTTGCGGCGTTGCGAGGGAAGGGCATTTCTTCTCACGTTGTATAAAAAGCGCGTAGCTACGTATTGCTACGATGACGATTTTGTGAATCTAACATTTTTTACCATGTCATCTGCTTCTATTTACAAGTCTTGCTCTTGTATGCCGGCGATCATGGTGAGCGTCAAGGTCATGTGCAGGTCCATAAAGAAGTTGCTGGGTAACATTAGCCAGCATTTCCTCCTGCGTTCTGACCCTAGAGTCTGTTACAAACTTCAGCTTTGTGACTTGAATGAGGGATTCCCAGGCTATGATCCCACATGACTCCATGATGTATCTGAATTAGCGTTGAATGCCATGAAGGCTTCGTCGCTGAGCTGTACGATAGCTATGGTCAATGTTATGCCTTAATGGTCAAGTCCGACTGTAGACATCGCTTGACGGCTGAAGCCTCTATCGACAACCGAAAAGGCCGCCTAACTCTCATCCGCGATCTGAAAATCGAACCATGCTCCTTCACATGATCCCAAGCTCAGCAAAGCCCTTCAGAACGTCCTTATCCACCCTGCTCAACCACTCCTCCTGAAACCGTGCTTCTCCACCCGCAGCCTGAATAGCGCCCTGCAGATGGTCACGTACGAATGTGACCAGATTGATACGATGCACCGGATCCGAATATATCAACCCCCTCTTCCTCACCTCCTCGGGAGCTTCCGGCTCGCGGGGCTCAGAAGTGGGAGGGTCTTCTGCCCAGTGAAGACAGTCAGAAGTCCTATCGTCCATTCCGTCGAGCAGCTCGCCGAGAACGTCTGTCCAAGCTGTCATTAGGTTTTGGAGGCGTCCCAGGATCCAGGGCTGAGAGATTTCGAGGAAGCGTGTCAGGACGAGGCACATGAGCTTCTTGTGTGGTGAGTCGCCGATGTTCTCGATGTGACTGAACCACTCTTCTAGTAGCCAGTCGAGTGTCTTGTCCAGTTCTGTTCCGCCGATAGATTGCAGAGCTTCGAGGAGCACAGTGGGCGATGCGAGGCCGATACGTGCCAATACTGTGAAGTAGTCGGTTTCTACTACACCGTCGACTGCTCGTGAAGGTAACTCGCGATACGGTCCATGCGATTGGTGATGTGCCCAAGCACCATGCAGACCTTCAAGTACCTTGGCAAGGAACCCAGAGGTAATCAGATCTCCAACTAGGATCTTTAGTGCTTGCTCGCCGCCAAAGCCTTCTGCACCGCGGACCACGCATTCCATGAGATGCGTCACAATGCCGTTGACGTCAGGTTTCAAGCTCTGTAGAAGTTCGGACAGCGAAGAGAGCAGAGCAGGTCGGAAGTTGTCCGCTAGAACAGATGCCGGGGCTAGAAGAAGATAGGCCTCTGTAATCTCGATGGCTTTACGAAGGGTTTCATTATCCATCGAGAATAACGGGAGAAGGTACTGTAGTAGGTTCAAAAGCTCTGGAGGTGTTGGCTGGGGTTGAGACGGTGTCTGAGCGATGATCGATGACCATAGGTCAAGGGCATCTTCAAGGAGATAAACCTGCGTCTCTGACTCTGGCTCGATCGCACTCTGGATGATTGGGAGGAAAGAGATGTGAAAGGTACGCGAGTCGGCTTTCATGGCATTTGTGAGGCGCGAGAGCATCGTGAGGATGGCTTGCTTCATCAGATGCTCATCGCCTGATTGCTCCCATAGTGGCGGTAGAAGCGATATGATGTTGTTCGCATAAGGAGTGATCTACATCTTATTAGCATTTGAATCTCAAGGAAGGACTCGACAGAACTTACATTATGCTCCATTCGCTCGACAATGACGCTGATAGTGTTGAGCAGCGCCATCTTCGTCTCCTGCAGCTCCACTTCCTGTACCAACGCCATCAGCCGCTCCAGCATCAGCGGCGCGTAAGGCAAGAAGTTGTCCGCACTGAACTCCCATTCGTCTGCACAGTCTCTGAATTTCCGCCCTGCCGTCACCCGCACGACTTGATCATTCAAAGGATCACTCTTGTCCATCAGATGCTGGAAGATCTGGTAGACGATCGGCTTCTTGTCTTTTGCGACCCTGATTGCGATCCACTGGGCGATGACGATGGCTATCCGGCGCCGGATGATGTTGAAGCCAGGCTTCTGCTTCTGTGCTTCGGGCACTAGTGTATTCTCGATGAAGGAATCAAAATCGAGCTTATCGTGCAGAACATCGGCTGCGAGGCCGATGGCAGTATAGACGGAGTCCTTGAAAAGGATATCCTCGTTGTCCGGTGCTGGCTGAAATTAGTATACGTTCGTACTTTCGAAAATGTGAGCACTCACTCGCAACCGTATAGAAGACTTGCATGAGAGGCTCGAGTATCAATTCTTTGAAATTCTTTGCGAGGTCTAAGAACAGCTTCTCAGCGCAGGGACGTATTGAGAACTCCCAGTCTTCGCCGCCTTCTTCCATCTTCTCCCACTCG